CCTCATCATCATCAACATCATCAACCTCATCATTCATCATCATCATCATCATCATCATCATCATCATCATCATCATCATCATCATCATCATCATCATCATCATCATCACCACCACCACCACCACCACCACCCTCATCATCATCATCATCATCATCATCATCATCATCATCATCATCATCATCATCATCATCATCATCATTATCATCCTCATCCTAATCCTCATCCTCATCCTCATCATCATCATCATCATCAGCATCATCATCATCATCATCATCATCATCATCATCATCATCATCATCATCATCATCATCATCGTCATCGTCATCTTCATCATCATCATCATCATCATCATCATCATCATCATCATCATCATCATCATCATCATCATCATCATCATCATCATCATCATCATCATCCTGCTCCTGCTCCTGCTCCTGCTCCTGCTCCTGCTCCTGCTCCTCCTCCCTCCTCCTCCTCCTCCTCCACTCCTTCTCCTTGTAAATCGCTTCTCCCCGTCGCAACCCAAGGCAAGCTTTTAGGGCGGGTTTGGCGTTTCGCTTGAGCCTTCCCAACCATTTATGACCCTGAAGCTTAAACATGGGCAACAGTTTCACACATGGAGGGCGGGTCGTTTCAAAATGTGGCTCTCGCTTTAGCGCCGCGCATATTCGTTTCCAACATTTGCAAGAGTCTCACGGATTGAGGGCGGGTCGTTTTCAAAATGTGGCTCTCGCTTTAGCGCCGCGCACATTCATTTCCAACATTTACAAGAGCTTCACAGATTGAGAGCGGGCCGTTTTCAAAATGTGGCTCTCGCCTTAGCGCCGCGCACGTTCGTTTCCAAAATTTGCATGAGTCTCACGGGTTGAGGGCGGGTCGTTTTCAATTTGTGGCTCTCGCTCTGGCGCCGCGCACAGTCGTTTCCAACATTTGCAAGAGTTTCGCGGGTTCCCATGGTCAGCGTGCCAAAAACGGTGTTTTGGAAGGATTCAGGATTATGAGGGCGCGACAGTTACGTTGATTCGCTGTGTTGAAGTCTCAGGAATGGTGCTGTGTTCTGGCTGGCACGATTCAAGATCGTCAATACGCAACAGTCAGGTTGATCCTGGGCTCTGAAATCCCGAGGACATTGTTTCGGCATGCTTCAGGGTCTTCAAACGGTTGTCTTCCAACGCGGCAGCTCCCTCGATGGAAAGGAACCGTTGTAGGGGCCTATGAAGAGGGAGCTTGGAGAGAGGGTTTATTCCAACATCGTTGATGACTCTTGTGTTTCCAGTGGTCCTCCTCCTTCTCCTCGTCCTCCTCCTCCTCCTCCTCCGCCCCACACGCAACGGGCCAGGGGAGCCACGCGGAGAGGAAGCGCTCGGCGGGGTCGCGCAGGAAGGTGCCGAAGCGCCACCCGTCCTCGCGGGAGACGTTGACCCGGAGCTCCCTGTGGTATTTCCACAGCTCGTGCGCGTTCAGCTCCTGAGGAAGAAGGGCGCCAACCATACACTTCCCGATCACAGCCGAACGAGCCTGTGACAAATGCGACCGTGACGTTCGTCTGGTGACAGCAGGCGTTGCCAGGTACGGCGCGTTCAAAAGAATCCCGTCTGCCCCCGCCTCGACACCAACGAAACGCAACAAAACGACAAGGAACAGCTGGGTCAAGACTGTCGGGATCGCAGCGCCGATCCAGAGTGAGGAGTCCTTGGTCAGGATGCCTGTGATATGGAGTCCCGCAAGAGGGACCCCTACAGCAAGGGTTCCTTTAGCACGGGTTCCTCAGAAAGGATGCTTTCAGCAAAAGTGACCTTCGCAAAGGTTCTTGTCGTACGGGATCCTTCATACGGATCCCTTTAGTAAGCGTCCATCAGTAAAGACTCCCGTGAAGAGAAATCCTTATGATAATCCCTGTCGTAAAGAATCCTCCTTTGGTACTGGGTCCTCGGTAAGGATGCCTGTGGTAAAGGGCTCTCTATAAGGACCCTCTTTGCACTGAAGATTCCTTAGCAAGGATGCTTGTAGCACGGATGCCTTTAGGAATGACCTTTTGGTAAGGATGCCTGTAGTGAGGGAACCTGAACAATGAACCCTTGAATGAAGATTTCTGAATCAGGAGTTCTTTAGTCAGGGGTTCTTAGTAACGCTTCTTTTGCTTCCCTTAGTAAGGATGCCTTTGAAAAAGGAGATCCCTCGTAAGGACCCCTTCAGTGAGGAGTCCTAAACAAAAACCCAAGTTGCAAGGAATCCTGATCAATGACCCCTTTAGTAGGGGGTCTTCAGTAACACTCCCGTTTTAGAATGGCTCCGTAGGAAGGATTTCCTTAAGAACAGATGCGAAGGAATTATTTTTTTTGATGACGGGTTCCTACGTACGGATACCTTTGGCACTGATTACTTGGTACGAATGCGTTTCAATAAGCATTCCTCTGTAAGGACGCCTTCAGTAAGCATTCCCTCAGTAAGGTTTTCTTTAATGAGGATGCTACCTTATTAACTGCTCCTTTCCTTCAGTGCGGGTTCCTTAGGAAGGGTGCCTTCTGTGAAGGAAGCGTAGCAAGGCTTCCTTATCAATGATCCCGTTTGGAAGTTTTTTTTGTTTTTAGAGTAAGGAGTAGGTACACAGGTTTCTTGTAGGAAACGTTCCTTAGTAAGCATTCCTTTCGAGCCAGGGATTCCTTGTAATAATGGGTCCACGGAAGGGGGTGGAAGGAGGAGCAAGAAGGAGAAGGAAGGCGGGGTCAGGGGGAAAAGTCGCAGGGGGGATAAAACATACCCCTTAAATCAACTGGCCCTGTTATATATTCCTCTTCGAAAATTATCATAAGGGTCTCCCCCCTGAACACACATCTGGCCCTGGGCGCTCCCACCGCCCGAGCGGGCCCAAAACTGTTTTCCCGACGGTACCATGGGGCACCGGAAAAGCCCAAGACCGCGTCAAGACCCGAGAGCGCCCAAGAGGTCCCGAGGCGGCCAAGTACACCCTGCGAAATGCTTCAGAAATCATGGGTCAAGAAATTCATAGTCTCAGAACTTGAATAAAAACACAAAATTCACATTCAAATCTTAGGATTTACATTGAAACATTAAGAATAATCGAGACTCTGGCCGAACATTTAAGTTTTCTTAAGCATCGCCTAAGGTGTACGGCTTCAAGGCGGCACGCGAGGCTTCCCCAGACGCCCCAAAAGGCCTCCAAGAGGACCCCCGAGAGGGCATGCGGCAACAAAAACATGTATTTCCCTAGCCAGTTTGGGCAAAGAACGGCCCAAGACGGCCCAAGAGCCCCCCCAAATCGCCTCTAGACGGCCCAAGCGGGTCCATAGACGGCCCCGGAAGGCCCCAAGACCGCCCAAGAGGGCTCCAACACGGTCCGAGTGGGCCCCACGAGGCCCCCAAGGGGGCCTCCAGTAGATCCCAAGCTGGCCAATGCTGGGCAAGACCCCAGAAGGGCACCATGACGAATCAAGAGGGCCGGAGAATTGTTTGAAAGGACTCCAAGTGGACCCCCACGAAGGCCCAGAGAGGCCAAACACGTGCATTTCCGAGGCCCCCAGGAAGCTTGCCAGAAGCCTCCAAGTTTTTTTTTCCTGTATGCGCAATACCGCGCTACACTATGCCTCACGCACCGTGCAACATTACGTACTGCCCAGGATGAAATTGCCGACGTCACGGCAACGCAGCCACAATGCAATACATCAATTCACTCAAAATGTTCCCTCCCAAGAGTCCTCGACGTGGGAGTCCGGCTAGAGGGTTACGGCCAGAAGCACCCTGGCCGAGGTGGTCAGGGGGGAAAGAACGCAACATTTCATCACCCGGAGCCGTTCTCGGCCGATGCCTCCCTGTCCTATGAGGAAGGCCCCGAGAGGCAGGGGCGGGGGCGGATGGAGGGATTGCACGGAACTGTTACTAAATCCTCGATCTACTATGGCAGCCTCATCTGGCGGGGGAGGAGGGGGAGGAGGAGGAGGAGGGGGAGGGGAAATGAAGATTTCAATGAAGACTTATATGAGGCTTGAGATCGTTGCGCCGCGGGCTCGCCCGAGCACCGCCAGGGCGCGACGGCGGAGCTCACGAAAAAGCGGCGGCGGATCAAGGATCCGTCCCTACGCGTCGCGTGCCAGGGCCCGGCCCAACGCGGTGACGCATATCACCGCGCCCGCGTGGCCCGTGAGGGTCCGGAGGCACCTGCCTGTGGAGAGCCCCCACAGCTTCAGGGTGCGGTCGTCGGAGCCCAAGAGGGCCCCGTCCTCGCCCAGCGCGGTGACGCACATCACCGCGCCCGCGTGGCCCGTGAGGGTCCGGAGGCACCTGCCTGTGGAGAGCTCCCACAGCTTCAGGGTCTTGTCCATGGAGCCCGAGAGGGCCCCGTCCTCGCCCAGCGCGGTGACGCACATCGCCGCGCTCGCGTGGCCCGTGAGGGTCCGGAGGCACCTGCCTGTGGAGAGCTCCCACAGCTTCAGGGCGCGGTCGTCGGAGCCCGAGAGGGCGCCGTCCTCGCCCAGCGCGGTGGCGCAAGTCACCCGGTCCGTGTGGCCCTCGAGGGTCCGGAGGCACCTGCCCGTGGAGAGCTCCCACAGCTTCAGGGTCTTGTCGCTGGAGCCCGAGAGGGCCCCGTCCTTGCCTAGCGCGGTGACGCACCACGCCCAGGCCGTGTGGCCCGTGAGGGTCCGGAGGCACCTCCTCGTGGAGGGCTCCCACAGCTTCAGGGCATTGCCCTCGGAGCCCACGAGGGCGCCGTCCTCGCCCGGCGCCGTGACGCAGTTCATCCAGCCCGTGTGGCCGGTCCGGAGGCACCTGCCCGTGGAGAGCTCCCACAGCTTCAGGGCCTTGTCCTGGGAGCCCGAGAGGGCCCCGTCCTTGCCGTGCGCGGTGACGCACATCACCTCGTCCGTGTGGCCCTCGAGGGTCCGGAGGCACCTCCCCGTGGAGAGCTCCCACAGCTTCAGGGTATTGTCCTCGGAGCCCGAGAGAGCTGTCGCCGCCTGCATCTTCGGCCTTTGCCCGCAGTAGCTCTGCAATATGCTGAGCTCCATGTCGCTGTGCTCCTCCCCGCCGGCCAGGCGAGCGAGCGCGCCCACTGTGCTGCCTTGCGGGTCGAGGATGCCATGCTGGGCGATGCGATTCATGTCAAAGGGCTTGTTCAAGCTGCTCAGGACGGTTTGCCGCCCCGGAGCGTGCTGCGCGATCCATCCCTCGACGTGGACCAGGCATTGGAAAGCTTCCCGGAGGCGACGCTGCCGCCTCTCCCTGAAGCACAGCACCTTGTTCCATGACCCGCACTCCTGGCCGATCAGCACCTGCATGTCCTCGTCGTTGAAGAGCTTCTTCAGGGCATGGGTCAGCTGGTCGGCGATGACTCGACTCTCCCGCTTCGGGTCCAAGGTCTGAGCCATCATCGCCGACGCCATCAGCGTCGTTGCGCGGACCTTCTCGTCCAGCTTACCCTCTGCAACGTTGAACGCGTCCCTCGCGCGCCCTTCTGCCGAGATCGCTTTCTGAACGTAGAACGTGAGCTCATTCTCAAATTTTGAGGACCCTTCCGCCTTGAGCTCCATCAACGTCTTGGTCATTGCGGCCAGCACCTCGATCTCGTCCATGGCACTCTTCAGATGCATCTCGCGCAAGGCCTCGACGTCTCTCTGGATAATGTTCTGCTGGCTCTGCATAGCTTTGCTCAGAACCTCTCCGACGTCCGTGCCGTCAGTCACCTTGATGGCGGTGTTCGCCACGGCCCGGCAGACCAGCTCGATCGGGGCCGCGAGGCTGATGCGTAGGTTCGCTCCCTGGAGAACATCTGCAACCACATTGACAAACTCTTGCAGCGTGGAGCTGTCAGACTGGATGATGTTGGGGTAATCCTCCAGGCACTCCTTCATCTTCGTGGCCACCTCCCATGTGATCTCGGACGGGTCGGAAATCCCTGCGTGATCAGCCACAATTGCAGCAGCGTCTGCTGCGGGGCCGGTTGGGTCTGCCGTGGGCCCCTGCTGCGTCGACTCCGTGGCCGACCCAAGGAACTCGCAACACTTGCCGAGGACACTTCCCATGGCTCGTCAGCGACACGCGATGAGAATTAGGTTGCGCAATAAGACCTGGAAGGATCGCGCTGCCGCTGGCGCCAACAAACTTACTGCGAGTACTGCCTTGAGCCAGAAGCCTCCAAGTACACTTGCTCGGGTTTTCGGATGAGGTGTTTGGGTGTTCGTTCTTTAGGGTTAGAGTGGTCAGGTTTGGGTGTCAGGACTCGGTCGTCCGGGTCAGGGTGCTCGGGTTGGGGTGTTCGGGCTTCGGTGGTTGAGTTCGAGTTGGGATGTCAGGGTTAACGTGTATGCTACGGTGTTAGGGTTCTGGCGGTCAGCTTGGGATGTTCGGCCCCACGAGAGCCCCAAAATGCCTCCCAGCTCCGGATGTCCAAATTCATAGATTTTCGTGCAGTTGTTTTGGACACGTTTCAACTTGTCGCTGTTTCGAAGACGAAAATGGCTCCTTAGGAGGCCCCAAAACGGCCCAAGAAGGCCTCCAGACTGCTTAAAAGGCTCCACAAGACGCCACGAGATGGCCCAAAGAAGGACAACCCGAATTGACATTTCGAGCTCCCCCCCCAAAGATGGTCCTGGAAACTGACACGGAGCCCCCAAGACGCCATCAAGGCCCCCAGAAGCTCCCCAAAGTCCCCCATGACGCCCTCAAAGCTCCTAAAACGCTCTCAAGAGCCCCCTCCCAGAAGCCCCACAAGCTCTATCACGCCTATGAGCTTGATGCGCCATATGACCCTGTATTCCGATCGACATGTGAACCTCATCACCCCTACGAATTCCATGATCCTGATGACCACTATGAGCCCTACGACACCTACGAACCCTATGAGCCATACGAGCCCCATGAGCCCTATGAGTCCTACGCGCCCTCCAAGAGGCCCCCGAGACCCTCCCCTGTGAGCCCTATAAGCCCCATCAACCTTACCAGCCCATGAGCCCAATGAGCTCCTGAGCCCTACGAGACCTGAGCCCGACGACCCTTACGAGCCCTACGAGTCCTACTACGACCCCTGTCAACGCTACGAGCCCTCTGAGCCCCATCAGCCCCATTTGCCCTATGAGCCCTACGACCTCTATGCACCACATAAGCTCACGAGCCCGGTCAGCCCTATGACCTTATACTCCTCACGACCTCATGCGCCTTCCAACCACTACGAGCCCTATGACCTTGATGAACTCATAAGCCTTTGACCCCTCCGAGCCCTATCACCCCCACGAACGCTCTGAGCCCCATGAGCCCTGTGTGCCCCCCAAAGGGGCCCCCAGACACCTCCCCTAGGAGCTCACTAGCGACCTTGCTCCTGAGCGTCCAGTGGACGCGGCACCATTAGCCTACATGAGCTCGATGGGCCCGTCGAGCCATGCGAGCACATCGACGTCCTCAGTGACGCGAACCCTGTGGCGTCTATGAGCCCAACGAATCCCATAAGCCCTATGACCCCATATGAGCCGTGCGAGCCGCATGACCCCGATGGGCCCTATGAGCTTCATGGGCCCTCTGAGCCCTATGTCACCTGTGAGCCTCATAAGTTCTGCGAGCCCTTTGAGCTCTACCAGCCCCACGGGCCCCACTAGCCGCGTGGCCCCAAGGAGCCTCCGCAGCCCAATGAGCCGCATGAGCCCCATGGGCCACATGAGCCCACATGACCACCACGACCCGTCATGAACCCCATGAGCCTTATGAGCACGGTGGGCACAGTGACCCCCATGAGCTCCGTGAGCCTCACAAGCTCGGTGAGCCCGCCCGTCGTGGGGCCCAAGAGCCCGTGGCTTCCCTCTGGCCGAGGCCCCACGAGCCTCAGAACCCTGATGGGCTCATCAGCCCGAGGAGCCCAGTGCACCCAATCCTGCCTGCGGGCCCTCGGAACCTCGTCACCACCAGGAGCCGCGCTGGCTCAAGCACCCCTCTTCCCGAGCAAGGCTCCGAGTCTCGGCGCCCCAATGGCGCCGGAGAGGCCTTTGAGTCCCCTCTGACCCGGTCGAGCCCATGGGTCCTGTCAGCCTCGCGTGACCCATGTAGCCGACGCGCATCGCGGTATTGGCGTGAACCGGCCGGGTCGGGCCTCTCTGGCGCCAGGCGATCAAGATTTTAAGGCGAAGCGACTCGAACCGGTAAACTCTTGTATGTATGTACGTTGCATGCATGCATGCATGCATGCATGCATGCATGCATGCATGTCTGTCTGTCTGTCTGTCTGTCTGTCTGTCTGTCTGTCTGTCTGTCTGTCTGTCGGTCGGTCTCTCTCTCTGTCTGTCTGTCTGCCTTTGTCTATATGTATGTATATATCGATGTTTGCGTGCTTGCACGTGTGTGTATATATGTGTCTGTATGTATGTATGCATGCATGGTTGCATGTACGTATGTGTGTATGCAGGTGTATGTGTGACTATGTGTGACCATGTGTGTATGTATGTATGTATGCATGCATGTATGTATGTATGTATGTGTGCATGTATGTATGTACTTATATATGCATGCATGCATGTCTGCATGAATGTACGCATGCATACATGCATGCATATATGTATGTATGTATGTATGTATGTATGTATGTATGTATGTATGTATGTATGTATGTATGTATGTATGTATGTATGTATGTATGTATGTATGTATTTATGCATCTATGTGTATATGCATGTATGCCGGTGAACGTATGCATGTATGTTTACATGCAAACATGCATATACATACATGTGCATGCATGCATGGATCAACGCATGCACGCATGCATGCATGCGTTTACGTGTATATATACACATGGTTGTATATATGTATGTGTGTATACATGTTTGTATGTATAATGTAGGTATGTATGCATGCATGCATGTATGTATGTACGTATATATGCATGTTTGCACGCGTGCGTGCATGTATATATGTATGTATGAACGTATGCATGCATACATATATGCATGCATGTATTTGTGTATGTATATATGTATGCATGCATTTATGTATGCATGTGTATGTATGTATGTCGGTAGACACGCATGCATGCATGCATGTGTGTATGTATGGATGCATGCATGCATGCATGCATGTATGTGTGCATGTACGTCTGTACACATTTCCTGGGGGAGAAAAACGGGGCCAGTGGATTTTGGGAGGTCGTCATTTTTTCCCGGGGTCTTTCCCCTCAGAGGAAGGCCCTCTCCTCCGCCACAAAAAAAAATCAATCCCCCACCCTCCCCCGCAAATGAAATCGATATGTAACCTCCTGCGAAGCAAATCCAAGTGTAATCCCACAAAGATACAAAACCCAGAGGACCTAGGCTACCCACGGTCCCCCCAGGGTAGCCTAAGGAAACCCTACCCTGGGGTCCTAGGGGTAGGCCCAGGGCAGGCCTAGGGGTAGGCCCGAAGGGGTCGGCCTAGGGGCAGACCCTAGAAGTAAGCCTAGGGTAGGCCTAGGGCTAGGCTTCAGTGGTAGCAGGCCTAGGGGCAGGCCTAGGGGTAGGCCTTAGGGGTAGGCCTGGTCGAGCGGGTCGGGCCCTCACGGGCGGGTCGGGTCGGGCGGGCGGGAGTGAAGTCTGCTGCGTCGTCCGGCTGGCACGCGAAAGCCCCAACGCGAGAGACCCGACGACGACGACGACGACGACGACGACGACGAGATGACGACGATCCGCTCAAAGTCTGGCCCCCACGGCCTTCTCTAGGGTTCATTCCAGCAGCTTTCGCATCCCGAGCTGATGATGTCAGACTGCCCGACTGCTCGAGACGGACCCCTGGTTGTCGGAAGCAGGGGGAACCACTAGAGGCCTCCTCGATGGGTCCGAGTAGATGGGGTCGGAGGATCTCGCCGCATCGCCGATAGTTACATCGCTGACGCATCGGCGATGCATCGGCCATGCACTGGCGACGTCTGCGATGCATCGGCGACGTCGGCGTGGAGAAAATCTGTCTCCACATCGAGCCCCATCGCCGAGGCATCGGCGATGCGGCGCGATCCTCCGACCCCATCTAGGAGGCCTAGAGAACCACGGACCTGCGACGACGATGACCAACGCCCGACGCCAGCGACGGTCGAGACCACCAGGGTGCGGAGAAGGCTCGCGCTTGCGACTTGGGGACTCCTGCCAGGGCCCCCCCCCTCCCCCGGTCCCCCTGGGGACGCCAGGATCACGCCAGGACCACGCCAGGACCCTCCAGAGCTCCCTGGGGCTTGGGCGCTGCGTAATGGGGGGGTCATAAATGGGGGGGTGGCGAGGGTGGTCCGAAAAGGTACCCAAACGGTACCTAAACGAGCCCCCTGGGGCTCCGGAGGGACCCGAAAGGGGCACGAAAGGGGACCTTTTCTGACCCTCCCATTTGTGACCCCCCCATTAAGCCACGCCCAAGGGGCTCCCCGAGGCTCACTGCCGGGCTCCCCTGGGCACCCACCCTTCCGCGCCCCTCCCCCCGCAGGGCTGGTCGGGCCACCCTCCCCCCCAGGGGCCCCCCCCCGGGCCGCCCCCGGGGCGGGCCCGCCCGGGCGCCTCCCCCCCCGGGGGAAGGCCGGGCCCCACCGTGGGCTGGTCGGAGCCCCCACCGCAGAGGGTCGGCGCAGGGGCTCCTCCTCCTCCTCCTCCTCCCCCTCCCCCTCCTCCCCCTCCTCCTCCTCCTCCTCCTCCTCCTCCTCCTCCTCCTCCTCCTCCTCCTCCTCCCTCCTCCCCCTCCTCCTCCTCCTCCTCCTCCTCGAGCTCCCCGTCGGAGCGAGAGAGGAAACCCACGGGCGGGTCGGGTCGGGCGGGCGGGGCATCTCAGAGTGTGGAGTGAAGTCGGCTGCATCGTCCGACTGGCAAGCGAGAGCGTCCACGGCGGGGCCCGGTCGAGCGGGCCGGGCCTCACGCGCGGGCGGGGTCGGGTCGGGTCGGGACATCAGAGCGTGCGCGACCTGTGCGGTGCGGTCCATGCTGTGCGATCGACGTCATGCGATCTGTGTCGCGCAATCGGTATTGTCCGATCTATGTTGCGCAACATGTGTGCTGCAACGCATGCGGTACAGTCTATGCGGCAAGCTCTGGGCCTCGGGGTTAGCAAGAACAGCAAGCCCAGGGGTCGGGCTTAGAGGTAAGCCCGAGACGTAAAGACTGGGCGTGTGACTGGGCGTAGGCCTGGGACGTAGGGTTCTGGGCGCATGCCCTGGGGGTCAT